CTTGCATGATAAGGTAGTACCCCTAGAGTCCAGTAGAGGGCTCCGCCTGTGCTAATATAACAAGGGTTACAATACGTAACCCGGCGTTTCCATACCTCCTGTGTTTTACGAGCGACTTATCAAGTCTTAGCAAACGGCATAAAACACGATTAAACATGATAGTATAATTATAAAACCATGCTCGTATCTATAACCTATAGAAATGCAAAACGGCGTCAGTTTAGACGTAATTCTGTCCTCCTGCTTATCGCATAATTTATGAGAAAACATTTCATAACATTAACACAACATATTCGAGGTGGTCTTAAATAACATATCCGTATTTATTTATTTCTCCAAGTTATGTTTTTGTGTGCACTGAGGAGTCGCAAACAGGCGTTTGTTTAATCATTTTAAGATTGGCTTTAATCAATGTTTGAAAATGGTATTATTTCCACATATTTCTCTCCATTCTTCCTTCTGCCAACGGTGTCGCAGTTTCTCGTCTCTCCCGTTTTTGTGCTTAGTACGTACGCATGGGTTAGAGTTTGCGTGGAGGACCGCACGTTTTCCCGTCAAGTTAGTATTTTATAAATCGCAAACATTGCGTAGAAACTGGTGTACGCCATTTTTTGAGCGTATATCCCTTTTATAAATGAGGCCCCTGGCCACATCCCATCGTCATTTGTGTATCCCTTTTCTGTACAGCCTTGTTAACATCTACCAATTAAGCTCATTTGTGAGGTCCATAAAGTGTGTACAATCATTTTTCCCACTGTGTATGGTGCTGTGTAATGATTGGTGTCAGACCCCATTTACACGCAAACGCATACGAAACGCAAACGAACCGATAAGATATCAAAAAAGTCTTCCATTCACACGACTCGAAAGCGCTGGAGACTCTGTAGTGCATATGCCGGGCCTTTAAGTGGCGCTGTACTTCTGCCACAAAATACACCAAAAGCAGCGAAGAAGACCCCCAAACATGGTTGCCATGGTTGCCTTTCCATTTATGCCCCACGGTGGATTTAGTAACATGTAGTTCATGTAATTCTCCATGTCCACTTGTTGCTGATGGTTGTGGTAGAGGAGCTGTAGATGTTGCACTAACATCTGTAGCACGGTCAGTAGTAGTAGCTACTGACCATGCTACAGCAGTGAGCAGCAGAGGTGGGGCAATGGCTTCATTGCTATCAGGAAATGATCGTATAGGGCGTACACACTGAGCTGTTTGGCCCCCAGAGCGTTCCGTTTGCACTTTGCAGATCTATCCACCTTGGGACCCATTATCGTTTGCGGGGTCCGTTTCCGCGTTTCCGTTACGGCCTCGTGTGGAGGAACGGGCTATACGAAAGAGAAAAGTAGCGGATACAACCGTTTGCATTGTCGTGTAAACAGCACCTCAGGCATTACTGTGTTCAATATTATGTTCACATTCCCATTGGGTCAAAGTTCTTGTATGGACACATTGTTGATGCAGCAGCGGTGTTCAGGTCGTGGTAGAGGGGTAGGCCTACTGGGTTTTACTTTGATTTTTTATCAGTTATGTATATAACTCACAAATGTTAGCATGAAATATTTCAATGTATTTCTTCATTCTGAGACATTAACCAAAGAGCTTCGACATCTATAAATGAGGCGATGTGCAGGGATGCATTATCAGTATACCAACACATTGTCTCTATCAGGTGTGAGAGTGAAGTTCTTCCCCCTCCATTTACTGATTGCAGATTTGGAATGCTGTATTTTGTAAAAACGTTATCATCTGCCATATGCGAACATGAACAATCAGCCATGACAATAATTACTAATAGCTTTGTCTTTGTTATAGGACTGATGATTATTTCTCTACCAAACAAAGCTATATTTTCTCGCTGATTTTCTGAATGAATCAAGCTTTATATTCTTCAGAATAAAGAACATAAGTAAACATTGAATGTTGCTTTCCTCTCTTTAGGCTAGTTAGTCTTGCCACTGTTGGATCAATGTTGGTTTAGAAAATGTTATCAATGTTTGTTTGAACAGGTGCCGCCTTTTCATGATGTCTACAGCAGAGAGTTATATCCTACACTGAAGCTCAACGAGATTGAAACCAGCGTAAGAGACACTTGATGCACACAATAAATATATTTATACACACTCACACCCTGCTCAGATCTGCCCACCTGACGGAACAAGCCATTTCCGCAAAGAAAATCTTTCCTCAGTTTGGTTATTAACGATCATTAATGCAGCACTTGTAACAGATTATTTTTAAATTGCTCTTTTGGTTCGAAACAACCTGAACACTCCTCTGTCATTTCATATGGGTTACATGTCCTAACGTCCATATACTTGTTGCCCTATGCATGTAATATATACATGTTATCTATTTCTATAAAAATGTGACAATTACCTGTTTTTCTAAAATAGAAACTCTTGGGTAGGCTGTGTGAGCAGAACCGAATTCTGAAAGACCACGAGGCTGTTGTTCACAGGCTGAGAATGGACAAGGTACTTAATTTTCACAAAAATATACCATGTGTTTAAGAAAGGTCTTGGAAAGCTAACTGAATTTGTACTCTTCCAATAAAATCCACAACCCTTTTATCAAACTGGAATATACATTATCACTGAGAGTTATTCACCTGTTGTTTGATTTGAGGAAAAAGGAGAAGGAAGCTCCTTTCCAATAAACGCTTGCTCTCTTGCCTCCTCTGCTTGCTGTTCCCAGGACAGCCTAGAGGAGGCGCTGGTTGGGACACATCAGGAGATGGAGCTGTATCATAACCAGCCGTTGGCCATGGAAAAGCTGCACTACAAAAAGGACACTTTGCAGAACCAACTGATCAACATCAGAGGGGAACTCTCTCAGGCCTCCAGTGTAAGTCACTGCAGAACACCGCCTCCAAACACAGAAGAAGAGCAGAGTTGTAAAGAGCCTTGAACTTTGAATTGTAACATATTTTGTTTGGTCTTTGTTTTTCATAAATACTGCATTTGCTGAGTGTGACTGCTTTTATTTGTATCTCACTCAGGCTTTAACCACCACTCGTATGGAGTTTGAAGCATTAGAGGATGAGGCCAATGCCATTCATGGAGATCTTTGGGAGCAGCTGAACGCAGGAGGGCAGGTAGAGGCTCTCATAAGGAGAAAAGAAAAGCATGTTCCCAGAGAGATACCTTGAGAATTTGGAATGACTGTTTACAACATATGTCTTCTTGTTAATATTCTGTCCAGATGATCAGATATCTCTTGCTTAGAACTTTGCCTGCATCATAATAGAAATTATTGGAATCTGTTATTTGGTGCTCAGGAATACAGAAAATAGAATAGGTCAGCAAAAGTTCCTTCCAGAAAATAAATTTGCTGTTACTTTGGATCCGTGGTCCTCACATTCAATGGGTTCTAAACATAGTAGTTAACATTCCCTCTCTCATATGACTTTGTCTGTGTATTTGCAGACCGAGCTGGTTCGTCGGCACATCCAGAAAGAGTTTTGGAGAGTCCAGGATGTGTTAGAGGGACTGCACAAGAATAACTCATCCAGAGGCACTGACACAGCCAAGCACAGAGGTAACACAGTGGTGCGGGGGAAGATTCACATGTTTGGTTTAAATACCAGTCTCTATCGTGTATATTCTAACAACTTTATCTCTACCACCCCATCTCCCTGTCTTTCTCTCGCAGTGGCCAGCGGTGCTTCAGGCTCCTTTAGCACCAATAGTCCAGCCAGTCCCCTGAGCTCAGTAAGCATCACCAGCCCACTCAGCCCCTTCTCCCCAGTGCCCGGCTCCCAGGCTTCCCCCACCAAACAGCTGGGTCCGGAGGTAAGCACCGGACACACCCAGCCAGAGACCCACCCTAATCCAAAACCTAGTACAGGTCCATGCTCGGACTATAGAACAATCCCTGAAGTGCGTAAAAAATCAAGCACTAAACCCCGTCCCAAGTCATGTATAGTCCCTCATTTCAAATCCGACCCTAAGCCTAGATGTAGACCCACAAGTTACCGGGAACCTGACACATGCCTGCATGCAAAAAATATGAATTACTGTGGTTGTGAAAGCCACGAACACACCTTCCCTCAGCTCTCCATAGTTTTACAAAACCTTGAGGAGTCTTTGGGTAGATTAGACCCTGTGATAGAGGAAACAGACCAACACTTCCACTGCAGAGCTAACTCTAGCTTTGACCAACCTTTAAACGCAGCCAAAGCCAGGTCAGGAGAGAATATCCAAGAAAAATGGCAGGACAATCAGCATTCAGACACAGTCCAAACCGTATCGGTCCTACAGAAAGTAGGTTGGTTAACCTCAAATGTTTGCAGCCAAGAAGTCAAGATTGGCCTCAGAAAGGATGTCTATCCAGAGTCCAGCTGGGATCATGGCTCAGCTGGTGGCTCAAGAGACCTGCCCTCCAACAAACGGTTTTCTATTCCTGAATCCCAGATCCTGCTTCTCCAGGACTCTTATCGGACTGATGTTTTATCATTATGCTACAACCCAGATCTTATAACATTTTCAGTACCTTGTTTAAAAAGTGCTGGCCATGACACCCCAGTCCATCGTCAGCTAGTTTCTCAGTCATCATGTCAAGCTGCCAGGCCCCTCACTTACCCCAACAATCAGAGCGGACTTCACATTGATCCAGTGGCCTGCACTCTAACACAGTCTGAATCCCCAAGTAGTCACTCAAGTAAAGTGTTCATGCAGACCCACCTTTAAAAATAAATCCACCACATAATAGTTAATTCTTACAATTCCACATCCAATTACAACAGTTTGGATTTGTAATACTGTAAAGAGATTGACACTATTCTTTTTATGTTGCTTTTGCATAACGTCATCCTGGCATCACGCTGAAGTAAGCCATTGGGTCTGTAGTTTCCTTTGCATACACAATGTTATCTAACTTGGCAGTTTTAGAGCACTTTCATGAACTGCTCTGCGGGGGTCTTGAAGTGAGAATATTTGGCCAGGGTGTGGAACTGTAAGGGTTCACTTGTGCTGGCATGTTCTCTCATAGATTCTCAATTCTTTGTAAAAACCTTTCATGGTATGAAGTGAGGTTTCCTGCTGATCTGTTCGCATGACTGTGCATGATGGTTTGGTTTACTTAAGAGGCACTTGAACTGCTTCAAGTTAAATGATCTTTCTGACTGCAGTATACCTTCTCTCTTAAATAGCTTTACAATTGTAATACATTTTAATTTATGAATTCATCTAATGCTGTTCAAATATACATGACTAAAGTGGCCCTCTTCAGTGTACTGTAGGGAACTAATGAGAAGGTGGGCCTCACACGGGACCCTCTCTCTAATCTGCCTGGCTGATTGTCACTCCTGATGTGCAGCACTCTCTATTCCACCTATCCTTTCTCTCCTCCCTTCCTCCCTCCCACCTGCCATTATGGTGATCTAGGAAAGTGTTCCCCCAAGGCCTCCCCTCCCTAAGTCCTATTACCCTGTGGAACCCTCCCCCACCTTCCACCCCTCCATCCCCCCCCTGCCCTTTGACAGCACCGCCTGGCTGCGCAGCTTGGGCGTCGACGATGGTTATCTTGATGGTGAAGACTGTCACAGCAGAAAGGTATTTGGGTGGTTCTGCCCCGGTCCTGCCCTCGTTTCACCTCGTCTTAACTTTTGTCCAATTTCATCTTTTATAAACCTCTTAACCTTGTCAACCACCAGAGAGCACTCATTGTTCCTCCATTTGTTCAAGCACTTCACCCCTTGATTACCCCTCTGTCATATCAGGCTGTATTTGTCCTGTATAGGATATATTCCGTAAGTGTTTGCTCTGCCTTCGCTCTTTTTAGTGCATCTGCCAATAAAAGCCATGTCTGCTGCATGTTGTAACAAGAAGTGTACTTTTTTCAAATTTACATTTCAGTTTATAATGCTCTCAATTGCTTTGCCAACGACGAGCAGCACTTAAAACTTGATATTAATCCTAGTGTTCAGTTCTTTACAGCCAATGATCATCAGGCAAACCCTCCATGTGCCGATCTGTGTGTCTGGTAGCTGTGTAGTAATTGTAGTTAGTACAGGGTCACACCAGAAAGCAGCACAGTGAAATGAATTCACAAATTGTCATGGTAACAGGTCCTGCTGGTAACATTGTTGTGACTCTCTAACCAGATCACATTTATTCAACACATTTCTACCACCGCTCCAAAATGTACAATAAATAGGCTGGGACAGGACTCTCAGGTTGTCATTGGTCCCTCAAGGTGAGCACAGTTAGGAAATGGCCAACAGAAGACGTTGGTGTGACATTTCACTGTTGTACCTGCTGGTGTGATCAGGATCAGTACCTTGTTTGCAAGTGATGTATTGATCCTGCCCTGACAGGTTTACCAAGACGTGACATAGCAATCACCACACACCAAAGCATTACCTAGTGCATTCTGTTTGCTCAGCAGCTTTGGATGTACTCTGACTGTATTATTGTCGCCATCTTCAGGTTTGAGGTTCATACATGTGAAATAATCTCAGCTCTCTGCCTTGCAGCTCATCAGTGACATGCAGGACCAGGACAGACAATCCACTTTGAATAAAGGTAAAACAACCTAAACTCTAGTTGTATGTAATAATAATAATCCTTTCTGCTGATGTTCAAAATCTAGCAATTAACCCTTGGCATGGTATACAGAACCTCTTGGAGCATAGGATTATACTGATGATATTACTCTTATTGACATAGGGTTAGTTAACCCTAACCCTAGCACCATAATGCAGTTCAGACTTCAGTCTGTGAAGTGTTATGTATGCCATAGTCTTACCTTTGAGAATTAAGCCCCATCTTTGTTCCCATGGTTTCAACATCTGTTGTTCTTTGCCAGTTGGCATTGTGCCTCCTAGAACAAAGTCCCCGACCGCAGAGTCCCACAGCCGCTCTGCTGCAGTGAGCTGGAGAGTTCCCAATGGAATATCGAGGGTATGTCAACCCAAACTTCTAAAGAATATCCAGATTTCTGACTTAAATACTGCAAGCACAGCCTGTGAAGAAATGAAACCCTTCTCAGTGTGCACGGTGACCATGTTCAGGTTTTCTGAGCACTTAGATAAGTCTTGTGTTACTATTTTCTAGGGATGTAACGATATACCGAATATCGCGGTAAATAAACTTCCCAATACCGTCGTGAGACTGACAAAATCTACCGCGATTTAAAAAAAAAATATTTTTTTTTTAAACACTTTATTTAACCAGGTGGTCCCATTGAGATCATCGATCTCTTTTTCAAGAGAGACCTGTCTAACATGGCAGCAAGTAGGTTACAACATGAAAATAAAACAACAGATAACACAAAAG